CAAACTTGTCACAGAGTGGAAATAAACGAAAATGGTAAAGGTCATAAATTAAACTATCCTTTGGTTGCAATCTTCTTAATCCTCTTGACGAACTCACTGGAATGCAGGTGGTATAAATTTAAATTATACTTTGCGAGGTTTTGAACTTACTATTTACTTATTTTAACATAGTAATGCATCCTCATTTTGAAATAAGGTAGAAAGGAACTGCTGGTCTTTCTCTGAGAGCAATAAACCCCAGGAGTCACTGTGGCTTTAGCATTTCTGGCAGGGATTCTGCCTTTAATAGACACAATTCATGCCCTCGCACACTCCATACTTCTTTCTCTGACTGCTCATCTGTTACGATGGCACCATGCCTGCTCTGAGGAGTGCACCAGGGTTTAACAACAGCAGAGTTTGTGAGCAAATTAATGAGCATAAAACAGAAATGACTAATATCTATGACAAAAAGTCACTTCTCTATTGCCGTGTGAAATAAATAATTAATATGCTAGTAGCTAGCCCCAAAATACTGTGTGAAACCCCTAGAATAAGGTATGCAGTGTAATGTATTTGAAGAGGTTGGCCAACCAATCTAATAAAGACAATAGAAATCAACATGGATGAATGTCAACTCCTAGAAACTCTCAGAATATCCTTAATACTATAATATTAGAATGAGCATTAAGCGCTATCTTTATACTCCTATTCAGTGCAAAAACAAACAAACAAACAAACAAAAACAAAACAAAAAATGTACACCTATGAGAGAAAGTACTCTGTCCTCAGCTTAAATATTTCTGATGGGTACTACAAAACAGTCCAGAAAAAAGTTCGAGGGGTGCGAAAATGTTGAATTTTGGTCCTTATCCACTATCCATTTTGGTTATCCAATGCTGCTATTTAAGTCCTAGAAATCATCATTCAATACTTCACCTGACTCTTGTATTATTAATCTGAAACGATATCTATGAAAGCATTTGAAAGGGAAAATTACATACCACTGTAAAACAATAAAAATGAAGATTATTATTACTGAGTCCCTTTCTTACTTTCAGACAATTCTGAATATTCAGTTTAACTAATAATTCCTCACCGTGTCTACCTCCCATCCAGTAATTTCTGGCACAAGGTAGTTTATTAGACTGAACATGGGATCTTTTGTGAAGATTATAGTTCCCAGGTGACGAGAGGAAGATATCCACAGACCTCAATGAATGACAACGCTTCCCAGGAGAGTATGAGGAATATAGGCTACTATGACACTGCTGCCCAAAGTAAAACACAATTAAGGTTATTTATTCTGAGAGCACTGTACCTTTTAAATATTTGTATTATTTTAATAATATTTATAATTTTACATGCATCTGTACCCTGGCCTCAGCTTACTTCATATTAAAATTGTTATATCTTTAATATTTGTTAGATAGTAAAATTGAATCCTTTATCAAATTGGGCCTTGATCACCTATCTAGATACTTATAGTTAGAGGCTCAGGCTCTGCCTCTAAGCAGCTGCATACATCTATACAACTCTCAGAACCTCAGTTTCTTGTCTGCAAAATAGAGGTAATAATACCTAAGAGGCCCTTGTAAAGTAAATGAGAGTATGCATAAAGCAAATAGTTCTACAAATGGCAGCTAATTATATTTTTGTATCCTTGTAAACAAGACCTTATTAAACACATATACTAAGTACTGTACTGCTGCTCTCTGATTTTTTTTTTTTAAACATATAAGGTTTCAGAAGTCCCCAGGACTGAAGAGGTTATTTCTAATGCTCTAGGAATTATATTGATCTCTTTCTTCGTGAGTGCTGAGGGTCATAAGGCTAGTTCTGGAGTGGGGTTTAAGGATTATCATGTGAAGATCCTCTCTCCACTCTTGATTCATTCACTACTGTCAATGCTGCTCCAATTTCCATTAAGTAAAAGGTTTTCTCTAATCCATATACATTGAACTATGGCTTCACTTGGGTGAGATACAAAGAGTAATTGCTTTGAGGAGGTTCTAGTAACAACGAAATGTAAGAGTAGGGCTCAAGTGATTTGTCAGGCAGCTTTTAAAACTGTTATTTAAAAAAGCAAGAAGAAAGAGATTTTCCTTGGTTTTACAGCAAGACTTTGATAATTTTTTGAACTACAATTCCCAAAATGCCATCTACCTTACAGAAACGAAAGCCTGCTTGATTTTATATTGAAAGTCTGAGATCAATTTGTGTACTTCACGGCTCACAAACTCCTCAGATCCAAGCAATGACACACCTAGGCAAGCTTTCCAAGACTACAGTGAGGCAGAGAAAGGGGCCAATAATGAAACATCCACCGAATAATGTTTTTGAGGCATTATTTGACTAAATGTTTCAGTTTTGTTTTTCTTTGTAGTGAAGAACTGGTCCACCAAATGTTCAATGTATGAAGCACTATGCAGCCAAATGATCACTAGGGATGTAATGCATTCTAACTCTGGGGATTATCATCTACCATTTAACATTTCCAATGCAAATCAATCTAAGGAAAATAGCATTATTTAAGGATCCCTGAATCAGAAGACCGAGGCCCTAACCATAATTTTGAATTTTAAGTATTATTCTTTATTTTGAAATATATTGAATGGTACTTACATTGTCCTTGGGTAAAGAGCAAGGTTAAAGTCAGGTCTCTGAGCACTGACTCAAAGAGGAAAAACTCAACACTGCGGAAATGCCACTTAATGGATCTTTGCTTTGGTTTCTTCATCTTAAAAGTATAGACAAGAATACCTATCCATCGGAAAAGATCTTTCCTTTATGATGCCCTATTTCTGTAAATAAAACTGCTACCATTTATTACCTAGGAGTAGTATGACTGTCTCAGATTAGAGCTGAGTGTTCTGAGTGTTCTGCTCTACTACTCACTAGATGTAATAAATGGGCATAATAAAACCTTTTAAAACCTCAGCTGCAAACTTTAAAATGGGATCATTATAGCATACACCTATCAGGGCTGCCATAAGGATTAAATGAAATAATACATGTAAAGTGTTTAGCTCAGTAATAAGCTCATGATAAGCAGTCTATAAATGCTAGCTATTGTTATTAGAACTTTGAAGTAATCTTTGGCTTCCCTTGTTTCTTCAGTCATCATATCTAATCTATCACAAAGCCATGTCAATTCTTTCATTATACATTGTAAATGAAAAGACCATTAAAAAGGATACACACTCATATAAGAATGTATATTGGTTAACTCTGAGGAAGAAGACGGGAATGAATTTGAGAAGGGGAATAAAAAACTTTACCTGTAACATTTTATGTCTTTTAAAAAAATATATCTGAAACTAATATGGCAATAAACGTTATAAGCATTTTCTCTGTACTATTCTGTACGTTAGAATTTGATCAAAGTTTAAAAAAAAAAACAATATCAATAGTAAAACAACAAACATCCCCTCATAGCACTATGACATTAGACAAGTTACTTCACCTCTTTTAGCCTCATTTTCCTTATTTGTAAAATGAGAATATGTAACTGCACTTTCTTGCAGGGTTACAATGAAGAATTAAGTGAAATTACAGATGGGTCTTTAAAAAGAGATGTTCTTGTTATAGTTGTCATTATTGTTATAATTTTTTCATTTGGTAGTCTCTTTGTCCCTTTTGCATTTATCTTCTAATTTAAAATGCACCAGCTTGTGGAAAAGAGTTCCTTGAACAGTACTTCATCTCACTGCCTTTCCCAAGAATCTGTATTCTCTCCTGCTGGTGTACCCAACCCAGTTCAGTCAGGTGTGGCTGTCTGACTGAAGTCTTCCTGATAACCTCTTTTGCTCCCAGAATTATGGCTGCACCTTGGTGACAGCACTTATCACTTGCACTGTACTTTGAGATCCCCTAAAAAACATATGAGCTTGATTCAACTCAATACTCCCAGTCAAAGAAAGAAGAAAGGAAGAAAAGGACTCAAGACCAGGCTTGAATTCTGGCTTTGCTATGACTATATTCCTGGGATGAGTCATTTGAGTTCTGTGTTCGGTATCCTATCTGTGGCATGAGCTGGTTGCACTCCATGATGGCCCTATAATCAGGCCCTCACTCAGTCCATTTCCCCTATACACAGAACAGATCCTCTGCCATTGAGCTCCTTAATATGACACACATGTCACTCTAATTCTGTTCTTGCTTGCCCTTGTTCTAGACTTTACAATAAACTTTCCTCAATGTATGTTATCCCTAATTTTAAAAAAAGTATCATATATATAACTTATAAAGAGCCAGTCACTGTTCTCAGTACTTAATATATTTCGTGTATATTAATTTACTTAAGCATCACAATAACTCTGTAAGGTAACCATTATTATCCCATTGTTACTGATAAGGAAACTGAGGCACAGAGCGATTAAGTGGACTTGGTCAAGGTCATACAGATAGTAAGTGGCAGAATTTGAACCCGATGGTCTATTTTAGACTCTATGTACTTTACCACCACACTAAAACTCTTTTCTAACCAATAGCTTTTAACTTCTATACTGTATCATATCATTTATATTCTAATTAAAACTGAGTGATATTACACTATTTTCTCTGATAGTCTTTGGTAGCTCAGAGCATAAAGTTAATACCCCATTAATACTAATTATTAGAAATTGAATCTTTATATGATTATATGGGCCCTAGTTCAGGTAGAATGTACTCCCAGAATGCACTTTACTGACATTCATAGCAATCCGGAGTCTTAGGCAGGCTGGTTCATTTGACAGGTGAGAAAAAGTGAAATGCAAGAGAGTTAAGTGACCTATTCCAAATTATACACTAAGCAGCAGTGCCTGGACCAAACCAAGACTATTTATTTATTTTTTAAATAATAAAACAGTGAACGTGGCAAAAAGCCTGGCTCTGAACTGTTTTTAGCTGCACAGAGTCCTGTCTCACACACATTACCAGGTGCTCATTATGAGAGCCTTTCCTTACTCTCATTCGAGACAGTACCAGTAATTATTTAATACATTTCAGAAATCAGTTATCTTACACAAGTTCCTTACCTATGATTCGCACCATTGTCTTGGATATGGAAGTTGTCCTTGCTGGCTGTCTGAGCTGCTTTTCTGCTTGCTTCCTCTTCTGTCTCACTCAAGCTATCCTGTGGAGGGCTTTCTTCCTCTAAACTGTCAGGCTCCATGATGTTGTCCTGGATTTGGTCTTCAAGTTTAGATTGGGCCTTAATCTCTTGAGTGAAGCTTTCTGAATCAGATTCCAAGGAGTCTTTTGAAATTAGATGTAAGTCTTCTTTCTTAAAAGGTGTTTCTGTGGACTGAGGCTTTAAGTTGATATGATGGACAGGAGATTGGCTAGAGAGCTTGGGAATTAATTTACTATGACTCATCTTGAAAAGATACAAAAATTTACAGGAATACTCTTGTTGATAGGAACAGCTGGCTGAATATTTAAAGTTGTAGTTCACAAAAACATTACCTAAAAAAATTATATTTGTGTTATTCTGTGACTACTGAAATCTCTTTAATTCCGATGTTAATCACAAATTTAAATATAAGAACCTTGTTAAATTACCTGCAGGCTTTTGTGTGTATTCTTTTGTGTGTGTGAGGTCTATTGGAAAAACTACTGTGTTTTTGTCTCTGATGTAGAGCTCCTAACCAGCCTGGGTAACCGAAGGCAGCTTCACCGAAGGAATCAAATGACTGCCTGGAAGCACATTCCTCCTCCAGCTTCCAAGGGCCTGTGACAGACAAGCCTCACAAGCCAAGCGGTAATTACGGACAGGACTTTGATGGCCTTATTTCAAACACCCAGGACACTGATACAAATATGCCACTGTTCAGTTATATTCATGTATAGAGTAAGACAGGTTCATGGTCTACCTTGTGAAAAGTAAAAGAGGGTGAGAGAAGTAGTATGTGGTTTGCAGAGTTGGAACTGTAAAGAGAGAAGCTGTTTTGTTCCTAGACCTATATTGGCTGGCTTCATTATTTGGAAGACGTTTTAATACCCGGGTTTCTACTAGATAGGAATGTGTAATTTAGGGGGCCATTACATGGATATCAACCTAAGTTCAATATGATAAAAAAACATAATAATGATTAAAACTGTTCAACAAAAGATTTGGCGGCCTTGTTGATAGAGCAGGCAGATAGACAAGATATGAGCTGGAAGGAGAAAAACCCACAGAGGCACAGATGTGGTCACCATAAGCCCTGATAGGTCATTAGAGGAGCTTAAGAATTCTGCCACTGGAGCAATTCATAGTGGAGGCTAGATGTGCACGTACCTGAAAGGGCTGCTGTCCTGGGGAGTGTTCAGAGGGTGGGAGATTGGTCTGAGTAAGAGCTGAGATCTGTTCTAACTCGATTAAGAGCGTTATTCCAAGTGAGTCCTCCGTGCTCAAAGGGCTGTTATAAAGACCGATGAGCCAGTTTATGGAAAGGGTGCTCTGAGTTTATATCAGATTGAAAGGAGATGATGTTTTTGGATTGTGCTTCCTTTCATTTCTATCTAGTATTTCTCTTTGCTCTGTCTTCTATCTCACTGCCTTTATGCCATTTTTTTCCTGTAGATCAGATAATAGAAACCTTCACCATCAGAGATTACTATAAAATTTGTTTTAAGGGCTTGCTCTTGTTCTTTTGGCAGATCCTAACTTTAATTAAATAACATAACTTTACTCCTATTCCTAGAATTGCTTATAATGTTGACCTTGTTGCTATGTTCCCAAGAAACATCATCAACTCCTCAGAGGAAAGCACCTTAACAAACAAAACAGACAAAAGGTAACATTCATATTTAAATACATATGAACTGGTTTTCTTTTTAATTCACAGTTCCCCCTGTTGGCGGACTAACATATTACTGTCTAACTATAAAGACTGGTTTGTTGTATTGTCTCTTATTTTAAAAATACATCTATTCATTCTACTGTATTATTTTAATATTGATAAACTAATTAACTTTTGCTTTTTAGGATTTTTTTAGAAAGTAGCAAATCCATCAATAGCAGCATGTTATACCTGAAAGTTTTAAAACACTAGTTTTACTGTAAGAGTTCAAGTCACTGTACTTGGGATCTTAAAGGAAAAGCTTAACATAACCATTATATTTCAATTTGGAATCTCTCCTTCAGGAAATTAATCAATCCCTTCAATTTCTCTTAAATGAAACAGACGAATGTCTCTGAGTTAAATCAATAAAAAATGTCCATAGAAGATAATACTTTTGTTGTTAACAGATTAATGAAATTTGGGAGAGTATGAAGAGAGCAAAGCCAAATGCCAGAAAAGCTGGGTCTTCTGTGGAGGCCTGATCTTATGAAAGTACGGGACTAAAGAAGGACAAGCTGGTAGCTGAACTAAGTGAGAAAGTAGGTATATCAAATGTGATGAAGGTGGCTATATAGTGGCACAATACTTTTCCACTGAAATTTCTGACCAAGAGAGGCAAACGAATCTCCTAAACAAACAGGAAATGGCCAGTTCTCTAGGGAACTAAGCGTGGGTCTAGTTTACTGGGTGAAACGAATTTCCTTCGGTGGGTTAAAAGGAAGTTTGCTTGCATTCCCCAAGATGGATGGTAGAGAAAAAGTTGCCCTGTTTTGGAACAGGCCAGAAGCTGCCCATAGAGACGTTCGGTTTGTTTTCTCCCTTTGCCTTTTCTTTGATGGACAAGACTGGGCAGTAAGGGGCGTTTTAAGGCCCAGAAAGTGACGATGTCAATCGTGTCTGGTGCCCTGGACCGGTCTTAATTAATCGAGGACAGGGCCGCTGTGGAAGTCTGGGCACCAAAGCCTTTTTAGAGCCTACACCCCCTCTCCCCACCCCCCGTTTTCCAAATGCCGTCGAAGGCCGGCTCTTTCGAGTTCTCCCGGTTCCGATCCAGTTTCCTCAGGAGGTTTTCTGCTGTCCCCACCCTAAGTCCCAGCTCTTCCCGTTTCTGTCCCTGGGCGCGCCTCCCACCCCGTTCCAGGGCAACCGCCCGTCACCTGTCCGGCGCTCCTTGTCTGCTGCGACCCCGGCAACCCCGCATCCTCCCGCGCTACCGCAGCTGCCCAGGCACCTCCCCCGGTCCCCGCCCGCCCGCGTCGCCCAGCGCTGCCCTGGAGACCGAGACGCCGCGTGACTGGGGCCTGGCACGGCCGCGGGCGGGGCCCCACCGAGCGGGCGGGGCCGTTGCGGTCGCCGCCACCACGTCCGGTGACACCTGCTCAGGCGGAGAAGGTGGAAGCGGTAGTGATGATGGCGTCAGGGGGCAGACCCCTGCGGGCCCCCGGGAGCTCTCGGTGAGGCTGCTGCTGTCTGGCCACTCTGACTTTCTAAAGTTGGAAAGCAAGGGCAGGCATGCTGCTGAGAATACGTGAACTCTTACAAATCAAGAAGACTCCAATTAAAGAATGGGCAAATGACTTGAACGGAATTTCATAAAAGAAATCCAAACGACCAATAAATATTTGTCGTTGATTAAAAAGGTACTTAATTCATTAATAATCAGAAGAGGGCAAATTAAAACAACGGTGGATGTGGCATCTTATTCACCAGATGGGCATAAATTAAAGTGCCTGATGGTTCCCAGAGCTGGGAAAGACATAGAGCAAAGAATCCTTATGCTGCAGATGGGAGCGCGAAGCGGTGCAACCTCTTTGGAAAGTGGTTGGACAGTAGCTAGGATATATATGCCCTATGCAATTTCACTTTTACGTATTTACATTAAGAAAGTGTGTGTCCGTGTGCACCCAAACTGGAAATAAGAATAGAGTGATTAATTAAATTGTGGTATTCCATATACTGGCATGCTATACAATAATGAAAGTGAATGAAATACAGCTGCATGAAATGATACAGAGGCATCTTAAAAAATATAATGAGTAAAAAAACCACAAAACTCAAAATACATATTGTGTGATTTTGTATTTAAAAATTAAAACAGGCAAAATCAAACTGTATTCTGTTTATGGATGCATTCTTAGTGGAAAAAAAGCAAAATAGTGGTTTTTACTAAAGTTAGAATCATGGTCAGCTCTGACAGACCAGGTCAGGGTTTTGGGGGAGAGTGCTTTTGAGATTCTATGTCTTGACTTTTAATACTGGTTATTTTATAACAATTCATTCAGCTATACATTTATGTATGTGTAAAATATTATAAAAAAGGCTTTAAAAGAAAGAAACGAAGTGTTAGTAATTATATTTACATTAAAATAGCATTAAAACCACAAGTAGATTCGAATAACTGTCTTCGACAAAGTAAGAATGCTTCAATACCAGTTGCCAAATAAATGATAGGGAGCACAGAAAATTGGGAAATACCCTTACTACTGAATTTATTTTTATCTTGGTTTTTATTAAAGTTAGTTTTTATTCGAGTTAGTTGTTTTGTTTTTTATTTTTTCGACAGCAGGGACCTTGTCTTATGAGTGCCACAATAGGACTTCAATGTGTTTTGAAGAAAGGAAAGCAAGGTAGCAGAAAACATTGGTGTAATTCTGCCCATGTGTTATATAAATTAACATTAGAGCAACTGCAAACATGCAAAGAAACCCCAAGTAGAAGGATTTAGTCCTCATGGTAGCTTCCTGAATATGTAATGGAATCAGTGCTGAGTCATTCACACTTGATCACCTCTTATCTACTGGTCAGTGAAAATTGATGCCATGGTTCTATCACCAGACAGGTGACTCAATTCTTGTCAACTTCACAAGAAAAAGAATTCACAGATAGACAGCGAAGGCAATGAAGCAACAGCTCAAGTTTATTGGAAGCAAAATACACTCTTAAAAGTGAAAGTACATTCTCAGACTGGAGAGTGGGCAAGCTCAGAGGGAACTCCCTTGCCTTGTTTTATCTATTGATCTAACTAAAGGGTGGAATATTCATGGTTTTGGGTGGACTCTATGTAGAAAGAAGGTAGTTTTTTTGGAATTAGGGAGACACCCCTTTTCTTGCCTCTTTTGTGTTTTTCAGAACTGTCAAGGCATCAGATGCATGATGGGTACAGCCTTAACTGCAATGCTAATTTATTAGTAGCTGTATAATGAGGAAATAATTAGGGTAAAAGTGAACAAGGCCTGATCTGCGTATGCGTCTTTGTGGAAAGACCACCTGTGTCTCTGGGTCAGGATGCTGTGGGCTTTGAGCTCCTCTAAGGGCCTATCAGGGCTCATGGTGACCATGTCTGTACCCTTATGGATTTCTCATCTTTCAGTTCATATCTGTCTCTCTGCCTACTCTGACAGTTCTTTAGACTGTTCAAGTGCTTTCTGCATTATTCAGAATAGACTTTATGCTGCTTTTCTGAGTGGTTCCTATATGACTCCGAAGTCTACCAATCCAGCAGCTACTTGCAGAGACAGACAGAACATGGAATACCCTGAGCTTGATTTTC